ACAGTGACCTTTATGGTGAATTGCAAGAAACAATGCAATGTGACCCTTCCATTTTTTTTATTTTTAGGGGTGTTAAAGAAATTCAGCAAGAAAACTCTTGATCAAGCTCGGGAATCAAATGATCTCCCTCTTACCACTCCCCTGAAAAGGAAGCGTAAGTCTAAAACTATGACTAGTGGGAACATACCAGTATTTGACGTCTCTCATCCGCCTTCTCGACCTTCACCTCAGTATGTTGGTTTGGTCAATGCTGCTGTACAAACTGGTGTGTCTCATCCTGTTAGGGAGCCTTCCACTTTCGGCACATCAGTTTTGGATAGCCCAGGTTTTTCATTTGAACGAACAAAGAATTTTTTAGTGAAGGAAGATTTGACTCGATTGAGCTCTCATCCTTCGTCTGAGGTGGCAAAAATGTTACTGCATGATCTTGGCAAGGTTAGCTCCTGAACACTTTGACCACTTTTTTTTTTTTTTTTTTTTTTTTTTTTTTTTTACCATTGTTTTTTAACTTGGAACTTGCATCTTTGTAGTGCATCACACGTACTGCCTGCTTATCATCTCGAGCTATGAAAGTGGAAAAATAATTCCGTGAGGAGATGGCTTCTCTCCATACTAAGCACCAAAATCAACTTGATTTGGTTACTATGGAGCTTAATGTAGAGAAAGATGCGCAGGTCAAAGCTAAAGCTGCCCTTCAAGAAGAACGAGTTAGGGCTGAAGGACTCAAATCTCAAGTGGAAAGACTTACTAGAGAGATAGCACTGGCTAGGTCATTAGTTGTTGATGAGTACAAGGCTTCCCATAGCTTCAAAGTGGCCCAAGCTAGGATGTATATCGACGATTTTGAAGCTTTTCGAGCTCAGGCCATTTCTGATTTTCTGAGACTAAACTTTACTTCAATTCAATTGGAGAGTGATAGCAAGGTTGATGACTAGCTCAATCTCTTCAGTTTAGTTAGAGAGTGATAGAGAGGTTGATGACTAGCTCAACCTCCTATCTCTTTTCCTTTTAGTATAGGACTTCTCATTTTACTGAGTATTGTTTAGTTGGATTTTGTCGTTCTTCTAATAGTAGAAATGCACTTCTTTTATCATAAAATGGTGTTGTTTGAACTTCCGTGATTTGCCCCTTAACTTTTAATATTGAAGTAGACATCATATATTCACACACACATATGTATATATAGAATAAGTTTTACGAGCTTCACCCAGCTCGCCCTTTAATAAGGAAATGAGTTTTACGAGCTTCACTCAGCTAGCCCTTTAATAAGGGAATGAGTTTTACGAGCTTCACTCAGCTCGCCCTTTAATAAGGGGGTAGAGTAGCTTGACTTCACCTTTTATCAAATATTTTGTGCTCATTTTATTGATGTATTATCAATAGTAAAGGAGTCCAAAAAATGTATGAGATCATAATAAAAACCATTATATTAAATAACACCATTAGAAGAAGAGTTCTATCCCTTTTATTGGAAAGTGAAATTATTCAGAGAGAACATAACATTACTAGAAGATAAAGCTATGCTATCAAGCTAGCTCTTCTTATTATTAATAAATAAAATTAGCCACACAAATCTTTTACTGGTAGTATCGTCTTAAATGTTCAGCATTCCAAGGGTGCTCCATCTGATGCCCTCCCAAAGTTTCAAGCCAATATGCCCACGGTCTGTTGGTGCTAATAACCTTGTAAGGTCCTTCCCAATTAGCGGACAACTTTACTTCCCCTCGAGTTTTGGTTGCTGGGGTGACTTTGCGAAGTACCAAGTCTCCAAGTTGAAATCGTCTTGGCTTGACCTTGGCATTATAGTATCTAGACACCATTTGTTGATAAGTTGCCATTCGAATTTGAGCTTGCTCCCTTCTTTCCTTAATCAAGTCTAAGCTCAATAGTAATTCTCTCTCATTTGCTTGTGGCTCGTAATGCTCAGTCCTGAAACTGGTTACACCGACTTCAGCAGGAACAACTGCTTCACTTCCAAAGGCCAGTAGGAATGGTGTTTCCCCTGTGGGGGTTCTTGCAGTTGTACGGTAAGCCCACAACACGCTGGGCAATTCTTCAGGCCATGTTCCCTTCTTATCCTTAAGCTTCTTCTTTATCATCTGAAGTATCAATCTGTTTGCCACCTCAGCCTATCCATTTGCTTGAGGATGTCCAGGTGATGAGTAGTGGTTTTTTATCCCTAGTTGAGCACAAAAATCCTTAAACTTTTTGCAATCAAATTGCTTTCCATTATCTGTGACAAACACTCTTGGGATCCCAAACCTGCAAATGATTGACCTCCAAGCAAAATTTCTTATATTCGTCTCTGTAATACTTGCTAGTGGCTCAGCTTCTATCCACTTATTGAAGTAGTTTATATCCACAATGGCATACTGGACCTGGCCCTTTCCCATGGGCAATGGACCTATAAGGTCCATTCCCCATTGTGCGAGAAGCCATGGACCCGTCATGGGAGTCAGCTCTTTAGGTGGTTGTTTTGGAACATTGGTAAACCATTGACATTTATCACATTTTTTCACATAGTCCATGGCATCTTTTTGCATAATAGGCCAATAATACCCTTGTCGGATAGCTTTGTGTGCTAAAGACCTGCCCCCAGCGTGATTACCACAATCTCCCTCGTATATCTCCTTTAGAATGTACCTTGCCTCCTCAGCTGAGATGCAGCGCAGGTAGGGTAAAGAAAACCCCTCTTGTACAGCACCCCTTTCATGAGGGTGTACCTTGCTGCTCGAAGTTTAACTTTTCAGGCCTCATTTCTGTCTTCAGGAAGTTCTCCCTCCTTAATGTATTTTATGATAGGCTCTGCCCATCCTATGTTGAGCACCAACTGTTATACCTCCTTTTGAACTTCATGAAGTGTACTCGGCTTATCCAGGTACTCTAATGGTATTGCCCTGTTTACCTCTAGATCTAACGCGGTAGCCAATCTAGTTAGAGCATCTGCATTCGCATTTTTTTCACGTGGGATCTGATGGACTGAAAATCTCGTAAAATGATTTTTTAATTCTTCTACCTTTTTTAGGTAAGCCTTCATTTTCTCGTCTTTGGCTTCATATTCTGCTCGGACCTGCCTGCTATCAACTGAGAATCTGTGTATGCTATGAGCTGCTCCACCCCAAGGACTTCTGCCAGTTTTAACCCAACTATGAGGGCCTCATATTCTGCTTCATTGTTTGTCGCTTTGAAGCCAAACCGAAGGGCATAGGCAATGTTTTCTCCTGTTCGGGAGGTGATGATCAACCTTACTCCACTAGCATGTGCATTTGATGACCCATCAACAAACAGAGTCCAAGTAGCTTCTTTGTCCGTTTGAATATGAGGGTTTGCTTCTGGGGAAATGTTGATCTGGTCTTCTTGGGAAGGTGTGAACTCAGTAACAAAATCTGCTATCACCTGAGCTTTATTGCAGTCCGGGGTCTGTACTGGATGTCAAACTCCCCTAGTTCTATTGATCACTTCATAAGTCGACCTAAAGTCTCTGGCTTATGGAGAACCTGCCTTAGAGGTTCGTCCGTTAGTACCACTATCTTGTGAGCTTGGAACTAAGGCCTAAGTTTTCTAGCTGATATGACTAAGGCAAATGTTAATTTCTCCATTTTCAGATATCTTTCCTCGGCACCCCTAAGTGCCTGACTTGTGTAATACACCAGTTTCTAAACTCCATCCTCCTCTCGCATTAGAGCTGAACTTATTGCTGATGAAGAGACAGCCAAATGTAAATACAAGTCCTCTCCTAGTATTGCTCTTGACAGAAGTGGTGGTGAGGAAAGGTATTCCTTTAATTATAGAAACGCCTGCTCACATTCTGGTGTCCATTCAAATGCTTTTTTTAGGGTACGGAAGAAAGGTAAACATCTGTCAGTTGCTCGAGAAATTAGCCTACTAAGGGCAGCAATCTTCCCCGTGCGTCGCTGGAGATCCTTCGTGGATTTAGGTGACCTCGTGTCCAGAACGGCTTGGATCTTTTCTGGATTAGCCTCTATTTCTCTTCTGCTCACCATATACCCAAGGAATTTCCCTGAGGCAACTCCGAAAGCACACTTGCTGGGGTTGAGTTTCATCTTATGCTTCCTCAACACATCGAAGGTTTCCCGCAGGTCTGCCAGGTGATCTTCAGTCTTCCAACTTTTCACTAGCATGTCGTCCACGTAGACTTCCATGTTCCGTCTGATTTGCTGCTTGAATATCATGTTGATTAACCTTTGGTATGTTGCTCCTGCATTTTTTAACCCAAATGGCATGACCCTATAACAATACAAACCCCGATCAGTAATAAATGAGGTTTTTTCTATGTCCGGTTGGTACATTGGAATCTGGTTATATCCAGAGTATGCATCCATGAAGCTCAGCAGTTCATGTCCCGCAGTTCCCTCTACCAGCATATCAATACGTAGGAGAGGAAAGCTATCTTTTGGGCAGGCCTTGTTCAAGTCTGTAAAGTCTACGCATAATCTCCACTTCCCATTGGCTTTCTTTACGAGGACCACATTTGACAACCAGTCAGGATAATGTACCTCTTGAATAAAGTGAGCTCTCAAAAGTTTTTCCACCTCTTCCGATATAGCCTGGTTTCGTTCAGAGGCGAATGTCCTTCTTTTCTGTCTGATGGGTTTAAAGCAGGGATGAACATTCAAATGATGTTGTATTATAGCCGGACTTATGCCAAGCATGTCCTCGTGAGTCCAAGCGAACACATCCTGATTTTGCTTGAGAAATTGAATGAGTTCACCCTTTATGCCAGGTTGAAGTAAGGATCCTTTGCTCACTTTCTTCTTAGCCTCATCATCCAAGCTCACCTCTAGTAGGTCTTCCATCGGTTTGGCTCGTCGAACTTTTTGCTTTCCTACCTCCTCCTGGTCTCTTACCTCTAAACCTTCAATTATCTTAGTTTCCTGGGACATCTTTTCTCTGAGAGAAATGAGATAGCATTCACGAGCGGTGGCTTGGTCACCCCTCAACTCACCCACCCCATGCTCTGTTAGGAAACGTATGAGGAGTTAGTAAGTTGAAGTAATGGCTCTAATAGAGTTTAGGGCTGTCCTCCCAAGAATAATGTTATACGCTGAAGGGCAATCCACCACTATAAAATCAACCATAAAAGTGACCTGCTTTGGGCTAGTTCTTGCAGTCACTGGAAGCGTAACTACTCCCAGTGAATTCACCTTATCTCCTGAAAACCCCACGAGAGGAGAATTCATGGGTCGTAACCTTTCCTGGCCTATCATCATTTGGTTGAATACATGGGAAAATATTATATCAGCTGAACTCCCATTGTCAATAAGTATACGCCTTATGGTGTAGTTAGCTATGACCATAGAGACAACCAGAGGATCATCATAGGGTTGCTGGATCCCTTTGGCATCAGCCTCTAAAAACATAATGGTAGTATCAGCATACCTTAGTGTTTTTTATGGAGAGTTGAACATTCCCACCTCATTCACCTCTACTCTTGCTCTTCTTGCATAAGTTTTTTGGGCCATGGCTATTTCACCTCCTCCTGCATACCCTCCGGATATAACTCTGATCCCGCCTACTGGTTGTTGTTCTGGTGGATAATTGTCCCGCCTCCCTTGTGCGAGATTAGTACCCCGTCTATCATCTCCCACCATAAACCTTCGCAGGTGACCTCTTCGAATCAAATTCTCAATCTGATCTTCTAAGTCGATACAATCTTCCGTGATATGTCCACGATCTCTATGGAACTTGCAATATTTGTCTCGACGCCTTCTTGAGGGATCAGATTTCAGCTTCGATGGCCACTTCAGTGAGGGATCATCCTGAATCTGCATTAAAACCTAATCTATATCCATTGTGAGCGGGGTGTAGTTGGTGTACCTATCTGAGCTCCTGTAACGAGATGTCCTTTCACTTTGATTGATTGAAGACTTTTTAAATTTAGTCTCCTTCTCGTCCTTGACACCAAGCTGTGGTCTTTTTTTTACGCCTTTTTATCTTCTCCTTCTTTTCCCTTTCGCGCACTCATCGCATCCTCCGCATTCATGTGTTTCCTGGATCTGACCAGTAATTCTGCCATACTGGTTGGAAGTTCCTTTGACAAGGAAAAAAGGAATCTAGATGTATGCAGTCCTCCCATGAATGCGGTGAGTGCTACCTTGTCATCAGCTTCATTCACCTGTAACATTTCGATGTTGAACCGATTGATATACTCCAGTAATGGTTCTCCTTTTTGTCATTTCACGGTGAGCAAGTGAGTGGCCGGCCTCCTATGCCTTTGACCTGCAATGAAATGACTTACAAATCCCTTGCTCAACTCTGCAAAGGTCTCAATTGAGCCTGGTTTTAATTTATTAAACCAGACCCGTGCCGACCCTTGAGAGTAGTAGGAAAAGCCCGACACATTATCTGGTCTGGTACAGCTCAGAGATGCATAAGTGCCTGGAAAGTCTCCAGGTGATCAAAAGGATCACGAGCCCCATCAAAGCTTTCAAGTGTTGGTATCTTGAACTTGCTAGGCAATGGACATCTCATGAAAGTCGGGCTAATGGCAATTTTTTTTTTTGAACAAGGTCGTTTATGGTGGTAACGGAGCCTTTTCCCTTCATAGCTTGCATCACATCTTCCATCTTGGCATTAAGGTTATGGATCTGCTGGTCGATATGGGTAACCTCCTCAATCAGTTCATTAACGTAGGTCGAGGTTAATGGCCTAGAGCTACGTGGGGGAGATGGGTGACCCGCCACCCTATGCAGATCAGCAATTTGGCTATGCTCTGCAGGAACTTCCTCATGGGAAGGCTCGTTGCCTTGTACCTCATGATTTCCCTCCTCAACATTTAGGTTGGGCTGATCTTGAGGTGGGATTTCGTTATGGTGACGACCTTGCCCATGAGGTGGGGCTGGGGGAACAAAACGTTGTAGGATCATCGTATTTTGTCGGATCAACTCATTCATTCCCTGATTCAGAGTTTGAATTTGTTGTTCCAATGCTGTGACGCGCTCTAGGTCATTTGGGATGTGAGGGGGTTCCCCCTGCACTTCCTCCTCACCAGAGGCTTGCAATGATGTTCCCTCACCGCGCTCAAATCCAGATCGTAAGACCATAATCCTTTTTAAAGAGAACTATTCCAAGTTCCCACAGACGGCGCCAACTGATAAAGATTAGCTTGCAACGATCTGAAACAACAGCGTTGTTTCTCTTGACACCGGTGTGGTGCCTGCCAAAATAACTCCGACGGCTAAGTCAATTTATAGAATAAAATAAGCAATTCACAAATTAGAGTTCAATATTACCCGTACCTCATTGGTTGATAAGAGTTTGCTTTAATAGTCAGCTGAGCTGGGAGTTTGTTACTGATGAGCGCTGAAAAGTGCGTATTTAAACCCCTTACGCTTAGGCATTCTAGCACCTTTATCTATCTTACTTTACCATTTTAGATTGATTTCATATTATTTCCATTTTCAGGCACTTATCCCAAAAATAAGCTAACTCAACTAAATAAGAGCTTAATTGAAGCAATTCTGGGATTAAACAAAGAAAGGAGCAAAGTGGAGAAAGAAGAAAGCAAATGAAGCCAAATGTGGGAAGCAGCAAAGTTCAATCGATCCAAGTTCAAGGTTCGATCGATCGAATAATGATCGATCTCAACACTTCAAGATAGATCCAAGCCTAGACCCAAAAGCATAAAGTCCCAAAAGTTCGATGGATCCAACACCATCCTTCGATCGATCGAACACTTTTGTCCTTATTCAAATAATTGATCCTATCCACAGCTGTACCACCCACTAACCACTTTTGTCCTTTTCCCATAAATATCTCCCAAAATATCTCGGATTTGTCTTTTTCCAAAACGCTAAGCCAGTTGGATCGATCCAGCCTAAGTTTGATAGATCTCAGCCAGTTCAATTGATCCAAGACCAAGGCTCGATCGATCGAACTTCCTCTAGTGCGAAAAAGTTAAAATTCCATCTCATTGAAAGTTGTCCATTATCCAATCATTAAAGAATATTGTGTGCACGACAACAGCTCATTTTGAGTGCCATTTTGACCTACCTATATAAGGATAAGGATTGCATTTTACAAGGGGAGCCAATATTTTTTCATATCATCTCTTGGAGAGAAAGCATAAAGGAGGAGGCTAAAGACACCATTGGAGACTCTTCATCAACCAAGGAGCAAGCCTCTTCCATGGAGTTAGCCCTTAAGGGTTGGAGCAACATCACCATGAGTGGCTAGACATCCTCTTGGGGCTAGAGTTAGCCCCAAGCATGTTTTCTATATCTTAATCTTGTGTATTATTGAGGGATTAGTGTTGTAATTAATGTTTTGACACCTTAATATTTATATAGATCTTGTTTATTCAATGACTTATGTGGCTTAATGCTTCCAATTGATCATTTCATTCTATCAATATTTCTATGTATGCTAGAATAGATGTTCATGTGCTTATCTCTAGATTTTGTGTTATTGATGCATGTCTATGTGTGTTGATGTTATAGATTTAGAGATTGTCAAAACATAGTGCTTAAAGGAATGCTCTTGTGATTCTCTTAATGGTTCATACTTATTCCTTGATGTATTGTGCCTCTCCCCTAGTTTATTTTCATGTTAGTAGTGTAGATGTAGTGTAGTTGTAGTGTAGTGTTAAATGGGAGAACAATCCATGCTTGTTGTTTAATGATCCAAGCTTTTGAATGCAAGTAGCATATGTCTCTATCCTTGTGTTGTATTTGGATTGTGAGCTTAATGAAAGGATTAATGACTTATTTTGATCTATTATGCCTTTCACATGTTGTTTAGACAATATTGATCGGTTGATCAACTATACATCAACCTTCGCAATAGCACGAATCATTGTAAAATAGGGCTATTGGTCGGGTAAGTCGAACCACAGGGACTACGCTAGTCTAATACAACCTAAATGTCTAGAATCATTCTTAGAATGATGAAGGGTGTATAGAGGTTTTGTTGGATGTCACTTAAGCTAGGAAATTAAAAGTGCATAAAACAGTAAATTGCAAGAATTCAAGGGAGTGAGTACAAGTAAAGAAGGCTAGGGAAATGAATCCACCTCCATCCCTCTACACATGCTAGGTTAAGATTAATTTAAGGGGAAAACAACATATATGATAGTCATGATACATAACAATACTAGGTTGCTATAATATCTTTAAGAAGTTCATTTAATTAGAAAGGCAAGAATAAACCATCAAAGGTTCACATGATCAACTACCTAAACTAAAATGTAGCTTAGAACATGCTTACTAAGCCAAGGATTATCAAGCCCTAATTTAAATGGTGAATGCACATAAAGCTAAGAATCAAGTATAGCCCATCAAAGGGAAACCCTAAGCCATGAACTATCTAGGTTCTCCAACTCCATGCCATTAAAACCATTCCATGATCTAACTTCCATTGTCACCATGGAAGTGCAAGCAATATGATTAAGAAAGGCAACCATCCAAGACAAGATGAATAACTCACAATAATCATTTAAAACATTCAACATTCATTACAACAAAAATGAGGCTCTTGACCATGGAAAGACTATCAAAAATACATTGTAATCCCCAAAAATAAACTATACTAACACATGCTTACAAGGGAGGGGTTTCATCACCTCCCTAGATGAGGTTTAGTTACCCATTGGTGAGCTAGAAGAAGGAAGAAGCATCATCCTCATCTCCATTTTTGAGCTCCTACTGTAGCACTCAAGAACACCCTCTCCTTGCTCTCTTCTCTCTCCTTTCTCTTGCTCAAGATAAAGCTTAATGATATATGTGGCCTTTGGGTAGCCTTTTATGCTCCAACCATACCCTCTCTCCTCCAAGGAACACCTCCAACCACTTCATAAAGAGGGAAGATGGCATTGAGGAAACCAATGTGCAAGTGGGCTGAAATGAGCCATTTCCGAAGGGCATTCTGCCTGATTTTCGAGCGCACGCTTGGTGACTTCGAGCACTCTAACTTAGTGCAATGTGCAACATGCTCCTCTTGCTCAGTGCTGACCTATTTTGGGAAAACTGCTATAACTTTGTGCCCCGAACTCCGAATGACGATCTGTTTGAAGCTTTGGAGAGCTGATTCAGTGCTTTAAAAACTTCATGTTTTGATGAAGACCCAAATCTCAAGTCTGGTTGGTCGAAAATGGGGAGAAAAGCAGTACATTAGTGCTGCCAGGCAGTTCTGCGCACCTCTGTTGTGAAGATCATAACTCTCTGCTCCGAACTTCGAATGATGAACCACTTGAAGATTTGGAAAGCTGATTCAGAGCTCTAAATCTTTCATGTTATGAGGGAAGTCCAGTTCTCGAGTTTGGAAGGTCAAAATGGCAAGCAAAGACCAGGCTCTACTGCTGCCAGAATTCAGCATTGGCACCCTTTTGTTGCTCAAGACTCCACAAGGCCTTATTCTTGTTCCATTTTGGCCAATGAACCTGAAAATGCATAAAAACATAGAATTGGAGTTAATCTACATAAAATAATTAATAACTGGACTTTGTTAATGTAATTTAGGGCGCTTGAATATACATTATTCGGCGCTTATCACACCCCCAAACTTACATTTTGCTAGTCCCTTAGCAAAACTACAATGAAAAACATAAAGAAAAGACAACCATGGGCATGCTACTACAAAAAATATCCTCCATGGTAAAATGAGATAGAAACATAGCTCAAATACAACTTGAAACAGACAAAAACTGGAGATGGGGTCATTGGGAAAACTACCTTGCATATATGAAGCATTGATACAAAAATTGGCTAAATACATTTCTACATACATGCATCAACATCAAAATCTATATAAATAACTCAATTATCATCTCTTGAAT